TTCATATTGAGAGGAGGGTCTGAGCACCTATGGACATGTCAGGAGTGCAATGATGATAACCCAACTAACTAACTAACTAACTAACTAACTAACTAACTAACTAACTAACTAACTAACTAACTAACTAACTAACTACTAACTAACTAACTAACTAACTAACTAACTAACTAACTAACTAACTAACTAGCTTTGTGTTTTTTGTGTGGTGTGCGGTGTGTGCAAGCTTGCGTGTATATATGTGAATGTGCGGGTGCCTATGTGCGCCTGTGTGTGAAAGTGTTCGAGTGCAAGGGAATACCCAGTGTTACTTGTGTGTTATCATCATCGGGAAGTTCAACATTTCTATTTAAGGCGCTGGGAATTCCCCCAACTGACGTGTATCCTTCCTGTGGTAAACAAGCCGATACATTTCCATTTTCCTGCATGCCTGTTCTAAACAGTAGACTACATTGATTCCACAAATTTTTCCCAGGAGAGTTTACTTACAAACCGAACTGATCAGAACAGCTGGAGTAAAACCTGATAAGTAAGTAAACTGTCTTGAGAAATCGCGAGTTAGAATTATAAGTAGCAGCAGCAGCAGCAGCAGGAATTAGCAGTCTATCATCTGTTTGTGTAAAAAAATTTGCTGCAGAAAATTTCTCTCGGTTTCTTTAATGTCAACGCTTCGTAATGCCGGCATACCGGGTTCAATCCCAGCTGCGGTCCGTGCACCTTGCGTCGGTTTCGATAGTGGTATCAGGGAGCCGACTGTCCAGGGGCAAAAGCATACTATTGGACGTAAATTTGCCTAGAGAAACCACACAACAGCCAGGGGCTGCTGGGGTTGGTTCTGCAAAAGTAAGGTAAAGGATACGCAACTGACCTTTCTCTAATGCCAGTTTTACATATTACAGTAGAGAGAAGATTGGGACAACACGAGGACACACTAAACAGGGGCGCTGACACCAAGAGAAGATATCACTAGAACACAAATAGGGGCGCTGGCACAAATTGAAGATATCACCAGGACACACTAAACAGGGGCGCTGACACAAATTAGAGATATCACTAGGACACACTAAACAGGGGCGCTGGCACAAAGTGAAGATATCACTAGGACACACTAAACAGGGGCGCTGACACAAAATGAAGATATCACTAGGACATACTAAACAGGGGCGCTGACACAAAGTAGAGATATCACTAGGACACACTGAACAGGGGCGCTGACACAAAGAGAAGTTATCACTAGGACAAAATAAACAGGGGCGCTGACACAAAGTAGAGATATCACTAGGACACACTAAACAGGGGCGCTGACACAAAGTAGAGATATCACTAGGACACACTAAACAGGGGCGCTGACACAAAGTAGAGATATCACTATGACACACTAAACAGGGGCGCTGAAACAAAGAAAAGGTATCATTAGGACACACTAAACAGGGGCGCTGAAACAAAGAAAAGGTATCACTAGGACACACTAAACAGGGGCGCTGAAACAAAGAAAAGGTATCACTAGGACACACTAAACAGGGGCGCTGACACAAAGTAGAGATATCACTATGACACACTAAACAGGGGCGCTGAAACAAAGAAAAGGTATCATTAGGACACACTAAACAGGGGCGCTGAAACAAAGAAAAGGTATCACTAGGACACACTAAACAGGGGCGCTGAAACAAAGAAAAGGTATCACTAGGACACACTAAACAGGGGCGCTGAAACAAAGAAAAGGTATCACTAGGACACAATTAACAGGGGCGCTGACATAAAGTGGAGGTATTATTAGGACATACTGAACATGGGCGCTGACACAAAGAGAAGTTATCACTAGGACACACTAAACAGGGGCGCTGACACAAAGTGAAGATATCACAAGGACAAGCTAAACAGGGGCGCTGACACAAAGAGAAGATATCACTAGGACAAACTAAACAGGGGCGCTGACACAAAGTAGAGATATCACTAGGACACACTAAACAGGGGCGCTGACACAAAGTAGAGATATCACTAGGACACACTAAACAGGGGCGCTGACACAAAGTGAAGATATCACTAGGACAAACTAAACAGGGCGCTGACACAAAGAAAAGGTATCAATTGGACACACTAAACAGGGGCGCTGACAAAAAGTGGAGGTATTATTAGAACACACTGAACAGGCGCGCTGATGCAATGTAGAGATATCACTAGGACACACTAAACAGGGGCGCTGAAACAAAGAAAATGTATCACTAGGACACACTAAACATGGGCGCTGAAACAAAGAAAAGGTATCACTAGGACACACTAAACAGGGGCGCTGACAAAAAGTGGAGGTATTATTAGGACACACTAAACAGGGGAGCTGACACAAAGTGAAGATATCACGAGGACAAACTAAACAGGGGCGCTGACACAAAGAGAAGATATCACTAGGACAAACTAAACAGGGGCGCTGACACAAAGTAGAGATATCACTAGGACACATTAAACAGGGGCGCTGACACAAAGTAGAGATATCACTAGGACATACTAAACAGGGGCGCTGAAACAAAGAAAAGGTATCAATAGGACACACTAAACAGGGGCGCTGACAAAAAGTGGAGGTATTATTAGGACACACTGAACAGGTGCGCTGATACAATGTAGAGATATCACTAGGACACACTAAACAGGGGCGCTGAAACAAATAAAATGTATCACTAGGACACACTAAACAGGGGCGCTGAAACAAAGAAAAGGTATCACTAGGACACACTAAACAGGGGCGCTGACAAAAAGTGGAGGTATTATTAGGACTCACTAAACAGGGGCGCTGATAAAATGTGAAGGTATCACTAGGACACACTAAATAGGGGCGCTGACTCAAATTTAAGGTATCACTAGGACACACTAAACAGGGGCGCTGATGCAAAGTGAAGGCATCACTCAGACACCCTAAACAGGGGCGCTGACGCAAAGTGAAGGTATCACTCAGACACACTAAACAGGGGCGTCGACACAAGGTGGAGGCAATACGAGGACACTAAACAGGGGCGCGGACACAAAGTGAATGTATCAGTAGGACACACTAAACAGGGGCGCTGACACAAAGAAATCCCTAGGAGAGGGTGGAAAATGGGAGGACCCTCATTGCCTTTGCAGGGAATGTGTTTGTTAAAGTGTGAAATAATTATAAAACAATTATTATTATTTGTATATTATTTCTTGCTCAATGGCAAATGTATACAATAGTATACATAGGAAAAACCCTCATGTACATAAGTAAGTAAATTTTAACCCACCAGGACATCACACAGAGCGATAAACACCCAGTGACACAAAGTGCAACCATGCGGATGAGAATCACCCGTGGAGAGGTCATATAAACCGAGTTTAACCGTTAGGCTATATTGCGACCCCTAGAAACAGCCAGGGTGGGGCTTCAAAATGACGAAAAATTGCATTCCACAAGAGGATGACGAAAATAACGTAACGACACAGAAACCGCGTTCAGACAATTGGTCATATTGATGGCCTGCCTATATTGCGGCCCCTGGCAAAAGCCAGAGTGGGGCTTCAAATAACAAAGACAGTGACAGTTGTAGCCCTTATTTACCAATATCATTGATATAGACTTTTCATTGGTCGTTCAAAGGCAAGGTCATCGACGCTGGAGATTTGGCAAGAGAAGACCGGGAATGTCAAGGTCAGATATACTGTACACGCCACTGGATTTTTTTTTTTTTCATGAAGAAATTATTTATAACGCTTCCATGAAGAAGTTATTTAAAATGTTTCCATGAAGAATTTATTTATGATGTCCCCACAAAGAAATTATTTATAACGTTTCCACGAAGAAATTATTTATAACGTTTCCACGAAGAATTTATTCATGATGTCCCCACGAAGAAATTATTATAACGTTTCCATGAAGAAATTATTTATAACGTTTCCACGAAGAATTTATTTATGATGTCCCCACGAAGAAATTATTTATAACGTTTCCATGAAGAAATTATTTATAACGTTTCCACGAAGAATTTATTCATGATGTCCCCATGAAGAAATTATTTATAACATATCCATGAAGAAATTATTTGTAACGTTTCAATGAAGAAATTATTTATAACAATCCATGAAGAAATGATCTGTAACGTTTCCATGAAGAAATTACTTGTAACATTTCCACGAAGAAATTATTTATAATGTCCCCGTAAAGAAATTATTCATCACGTTCCCATAAAAAAAAATTATAAATAACGTTCCCATGAAGAAATTATTCACAACGTTACTGTAAAGAAATTACTAGTAACGATCCCATAAAGAAATTTTTAATAACGTTTCAAGGAAGAAATCATTCATAACGTTTCCATAACACCACAGGTCACTAGGTCACTAATTCACTAAGTAGGCGAATTCACAGTTTTCAACCGTTAGGCTATGTTGCAGCCTCTGGCAACAGCCAGGGTGGGGCTTTAAAATAACGAAATATTGCATCCCACTAAGAGGATGACGAGGATATTGTAACGACATGTATAAATAAATCCTCAAAAAGCGGAGAACGTTTCAGACAGTCAAGGGGAGTAATTAATCCTTTCACATTTTCTAAAGGGAGGGAGTTGTCGAGTTAAGCCACCCTTTTTTTTTTATCTCAATGTATGGGTGGGTGGGAAAAGGGGGAGGGGGCGGTCAAGATACATGACAGTGACAGCTTTACTGAGACAGTTACTGAAACTAACGGCATGTCAGTGACACTTTAATCGATATCGCTGAAGACAGACTGACTGACTGACTGATTTTCTAAACCACTAGGACATCACACAAGCGATAAACACCCGATGATACAAAGTGCCACCATGCGGATGATGATCACCGTGGAGAGGTCCCAGAAACCGCGTTCAGACAATTGACCATATTGATGGCCTGCCTATATTGCGGCCCCTGGCAAAAGCCAGAGTGGGGCTTCAAATAACAAAGACAGTGACAGTTCTTGCCCTTATTTACCAAAATCATTGATACAGACTTTTCATTGGTCGTTCACAGGCAAGGTCATGGACGCTGGAGATTTGACAAGACAAGACCGGGAATGTCAAGGTCAGACATACCGCACACGCCACTAGATTTTTTTTTCATGTAGAAATTATTTATAACGTTTCCATTTAGAAGTTATTTATAACATTTCCATAAAGAAGTTATTTATAACGTTTCAATAAAGAAGTTATTTATAACGTTTCCATTAAGAAGTTATTTATAACGTTTCTAGGAAGAAGTTATTTATAAAGTTTCCATAAAGAAGTTATTTATAACGTTTCCATGAAGAAGTTATTTATAACGTTTCCATAAAGAAATTATTTATAACGTTTCCATGAAGATGTTATTTATAACCTTTCCATAAAGAAGTTATTTATAACGTTTCCATGAAGAAGTTATTTATAAAGTTTTCATAAAGAAATTATTTATAATTTTTTCATGAAGAAGTTATTTATAACATTTCCATAAAGAAATTATTTATAACGTTTCCATAAAGAAATTATTTATAACGTTTCCATGAAGAAGTTATTTATAACGTTTCCATAAAGAAGTTATTTATAACGTTTCCATGATGAAGTTATTTATGACGTTTCCATGAAGAAATTATTTATAACGTTTCCATGAAGAAGTTATTTATAACGTTTCCATAAAGATATTATTTATAACGTTTCCATTAAGAAGTTATTTATAACGTTTCCATAAAGATATTATATATAACGTTTCCATGAAGAAGTTATTTATAAAGTTTCCGTAAAGAAATTTTTTTAACGTTTCCATGAAAAAGTTATTTATAACGTTTCCATGAAGAAATTTTTTATAAAGTTTCCATGAGGAAGTTATTTATAACGTTTCCATAAAGAAATTATTTATAACGTTTCCATGAAGAAGTTATTTATAACGTTTCCATAAAGAAATTATTTATAACGTTTCCATGAAGATGTTATTTATAACCTTTCCATAAAGAAGTTATTTATAACGTTTCCATTAAGAAGTTATTTATAAAGTTTTCATAAAGAAATTATTTATAATTTTTCTATGAAGAATTTATTTATAACATTTCCATAAAGACATTATTTATAACGTTTAGATAAAGAAATTATTTATAACGTTTCCATGAAAAAATTATTTATAACGTTTCCATGAGGAAGTTATTTATAACGTTTCCATGAAGAAGTTATTTATAACGTTTCCATAAATAAATTATTTATAACGTTTCCATGAAGAAGTTATTTATAACGTTTCCATAAAGAAGTTATTTATAACGTTTCCATGATGAAGTTATTTATGACGTTTCCATGAAGAAATTATTTATAACTTTTCCATGAAGAAGTTATTTATAACATATCCATGAAGAAATTTTTTATAACGTTTCCATGAAAAAGTTATTTATAACGTTTCCATAAAGAAATTTTTTATAACGTTTCCATTAAAAAAAAGTTATTTATAAAGTTTCCATAAAGAAATTTTTTATAACGTTTCCATGAAAAAGTTATTTATAACGTTTCCATAAAGAAATTTTTTAAAATGTCCCCACGAAAAAATTATTTATAATGACCCCATGAAGAAATTATTTATAATGACCCCATGAAGAAATTATTTTCAATGTCTCCATGAAGAAATTATCCAGAACGTTTCCATGAAGAAATTATTTATAACGTTTCCATGAAGAATTTATTCATGAAGTTCCCATGCAAAAATTATACATAGCTTTCCTATTATGACTTTTTTTCATCACATTCCTGTGAAGAAATTTTTAATAATGTTTCCTTAAAAAAAAATATTTATAATGTTAACTGTTAAGAAATTACTCATAACGTTCCCGTGAAGAAATTACTTACAACGTTACTATAAAGAAATTACTAGTAACGATCCCATAAAGAAATTATTCATAACGTTTCAATGAAGAAATTATTTATAACGTTTCCATAACACCTCAGGTCACTAGGTCAGTAGGTCACTTATTCACTAAGTCTGTGAATTCACAGCTTTCAACCGTTAGGCTATGTTGCAGCCTCTGCAACAACCAGGGTGGGGCTTCAAAATAACGAAATATTGCATCCCACCAATAAATAAATCCTTAAAAGAAAATGTAGAACGTTTCAGTCACGGGAGCATTTTATCCCTGCACATTTTCTAGGGGGAGGGATTTGTCAGACTAAGCCACCCCTTCTTGATCTCAATGTGTGGGAGGGTGGGGGAGGGGGCGGTCAAGATACATGACAGTGACAGCTTTACCAAGACATTTACTGATACTAACGGCATGTCAGTGACAGTTTCACTGAGACATTTACTGATACTAACGGCATGGCAGTGACAGTTTTACTGAAAAATTTACTGTTACTAACGGCATGTCAGTGACACTGTAATCGATATCGCTAAAGACAGTGACAGTTCTTGCCCTTATTTACCAATATCTTTGATACAGACTTTTCATTGGTCGTTCACAGGCAAGGTCATGGACGCTGAAGCTTTGGCAAGAGAAGACCGGGAATGTCAAGGTCAGATTTATTGCACACGCAACTAGATTTTTTTTTTTCATGTAGACATTTTTTATAACGTTTCCATGAAGAAGTTATTTATAACGTTTCCATGAAGAAGTTATTTATAACGTTTCCATGAAGAAATTATTCATAACGTTCCCATGAAGAAATTATTCATAACTTTCCCATGAAGAAATAATTTACAACGTTCCCATGAAGAAATTATTCATAATCTTCCCATGAAGAAATTATTCATAACGTTCCCATGAAGAAATTATCCACAACGTTCCCATAAAGAAATTATCCATAAGGTTCCCATAAAGAAATTATTCATAACGTTACCATAAGGAAATTATTCATAATGTCCTCAGAAAGAAATTATTCATTAGATTCCCATAAACAAAATTATTCATAATGTTCCCATAAATAAATTATTCATAGCTTTTCTATGAAGAAATTATTCATTAACATTCTCATTTAGAAATTATTCAAAACGTTTACGTGAAGAAATTACGATTAAGGTTCCCATGAAGAAATTATACATAATGTTCCTATTTAGAAATTATTTATAACGTTCCCGCCAAGAAATTATATATAACGTTCATGTAAAGAAATTATTCACAACGTTCCAAAGAAGAACTTATTCATAATGTTTCCATAACACTACAGGTCACTAGGTCACCAGGTCACTAGTTTACCAGGTCACTATTGACTGCCAGTTTCCTCCATTTCGGCTGGTCATTGTTGGTCAAAGTTTCCTCATGAGTGCGCATGAGTCGCCCCATAACTGCTCGCTTCATGTGTCAGTGGAAATCCCACCGTATCTCCTGTTGATAAATTTACGAGTCCCAACAAGATCTCAAAGCTTGCACACTTACAGTTTGGTAATTCTAGGGCCGTGCCTTGCTATGATACAGAATTGCAGCTGCATTAGGCGGCACCGTAAAAGGGGTGAAAAAAAGGGGAGGGGGCGGTATAAGAAACAAAATCAAAATACAGTTTGAATTTTGAACTGACAGAGCGGGGCTATTAGAGGCGATATTTCGAAGACTTGAATCACACTGAGAGAAGCTACCACACTGGACTGTGTATGTTGATAAGATGTAGTTGGTCTGAAGTCTGCACGAAGAGTTTGTGTGTGTCACCTGTACAGTTTCTCGCCACATAGTTCTAGCAGGGGAGCCGCTGTGATCTAGAGGCTAGACGCTCGGCTGCGGATTGGAAGGTTGTGGGTTCACCAACAGAAATGAGAATGCTACTCACAGAGATGAATCGAGATGTGTGATATCTGCAGGAATGAATCACAAGGGTTCCGAATACTGAAGACGATAAAAAACGGCCAACATTAACACAAATGGGTGTGGCTATGTCTATATTTTTTCTGCCTGGTATTCACTTCCTGTGCTCACACATGTGTCAGAGCTCTAACTGTCCGGACAGACACGCGGATGTTTCTCGCAGATATCTCAGTTAAGTGGCTTTTATGTATTTTTTAAAAAGTGCAGCATTGTCTACCCATGTCATGTGGTGGTGAAGTCCGTCTAATCACAATGTTGACTTGTCGTTTGGGACTGATAATGTTAAGCCGTCTAATGCTACCGTTTGTTTTGTTTTCAAATCTTTTCATGAAAGGTCTACACCTGGTCAAGCGTGTTTCACAGGTTTAAAGAATGTCATTGTTTACAAACTAAATCCCGTCAGGAGATTTTAAGGGAATAAATTAACAAATGAATAATTAAAGCAATGTTTCAAGTTGTAAATTTGAACAAAGAAGACACAAACAATGGATTGCACAGTTTATTGCCTGGCATATTTCGCTGTAAGTCGTCATATGTATACTACAGTAACAATTACATAAATGAAGCAAATAAGCGAATCCTTTATAAATGAAGTACAATTTCAACAACGATCAAACACAGCATGTCTGCTTGTTTTTACCACGGCAGCCGTAAAGAAAGAACCAGCTCTTTCTGAATACAGAGTTCCGGGCGCAGGTGATGAATCGCGGTTGCTTCGAGAAATCTTAGTTTTCTGCCATTGGTTGACGTATGAAGGATTTGAAATGAGTTATGATTAATTGCATTGACGTGATCGTTTTCTGATCGTTTCTTTCAGGTCATTGGGAGGCAGAATACAGCTACCTGGAGGGAGCTGACACAGATCACCTTTACGACAAGTGTACAAAAAATCCAGACCACAAGAACTTTATACCTGTATACAAGTTCGGTAAGGAGCATCTGCCCGAGGAATACCGTGACGACGATATTGTGGAGTATATCCGAGCGGTGGCGGACCTGACAGTTCGTGTGTCAGTGACATATGTTAGTGACAAGAGACCGGAAATATTTCCCGGCACTAGGAAACATTACCCAGGTTACAAGAGTAGAGGTAAAAGGAGAGTGACATTTGGAACTGGGTGGGTAGAGCGGGTAGACATGCCTTTAGAGCGCAACAGAGAGTCATGTCTGTGCCAAGAATGTTTGACAACCTTATTTCGTCCGACGCTCTATGCCCGCATTTTCATACAGACAGCTTCGCATGTTGTCTATAACCAAGATGAAGGAGATCACACCACCTGCCACTTGTACTTCGACAACGGCTCTCTACCCAAGAAATGTCCAGGTGTAGTTTCTCTCCCTAGAGTCACCGTTCGGTCTAAGCAGATCAACAGGGACATCTGTGAGATGGTTTACTACACCCATGATCTAGACCTGATAGACAAACTGAAACAACAGCTGGACCACAAGAAGGCCCTGGGTGACAAAATCTCCAGCAAGCTGCCCCAGTTATGTAAGATAAAGAGAAGACTGGACGCCAAGGACAAGCAACCACTGGTCTTTATCGTGTCTCACCCTCACGGCTGCAGCAAGCAGATCAGTTTCGGCCATTGCACTAACATCGATATGTTTAGCAACGACAATTTCCAGTACCTCTACGACACCGCAACTTGTCCTGGATCTAGCGGAGGTCCCGTGTGCATGCTACAGAAGCACAATTTGCAATTCATGTACAGCCGGAAAGATTGCGTCTATCTGATGGAAATCCATTGTGGAAACTTTGAGGTGGACAAGGCTCTCAATTTTTGCAGCGTTATCACAGGTTGGTCATCCGTCTCTCCGTTGTCTACAGACATATAGGTTGTTGTGTACATGTGTGTACAAATAACCTGTTGTGTGCATGTGTTTCAACTATTGTGTACATGAGTTCAATACGGTGTGTACATGTGCTTCAACTGTTGAGTACATGTGTTCATTCTCTTATACACATGTGAACCATCTGTTGTGCACGTGTGCTTCAACTGTTGAGTAAATGTGTTCATTCTCATATATACATGTGAGCCATCTGTTGTGCACGTGTGCTTCAACTGTTGAGTAAATGTGTTCATTCTCTTATTTACATGTGTACCATCTGTTGTGCACGTGTGCTTCAATTGTTGTGTACATGTGTTAAATACGGTTTTTTCATGTGCTTCAACTGTTGAGTAAATGTGTTCATTCTCTTATATACATGTGTACCATTTGTTGTGCACATGTACTTAAACTGTTGAGTAAATGTGTTCAATCTCTTATTTACATGTGTACTATCTGTTGTGTACATATGCTTCAACTATTGAGTAAATGTGTTCATCCTCTCATGTACATGTGAACCATCTGTTGTGTACATGTGCTATAACTGTTGAGCCGATGTGTTCAGTCTCTTATATACATGTGAACCATCTGTTGTGTACAAGTGCTTCAACTGTTGAGTAAATGTGTTCAATCTCTTATAATCATGTGAACCATCTGTTGTGTACATGTGCTTCAACTGTTGAGTAAATGTGTTCAGTCTCCTATATACATGTGAACCATCTATTGTGCACATGTGCTTCAACTGTTGAGTAAATGTGTTCATCCTCTCATATACATGTGAACCATCTGTTGTGTACATGTGCTATAACTGTTGAGTCAATGTGTTCAGTCTCTTATATACATGTGAACCATCTGTTGTGTACATGTGCTTCAACTGTTGAGTAAATGTGTTCAATCTCTTATAATCATGTGAACCATCTGTTGTGTACATGTGCTTCAACTGTTGAGTAAATGTATTCAGTCTCTTATATACATGTGAACCATATGTTGTGTACCTGTGCTATAACTGTTGAGTAAATGTATTCAGGCTCTTACATACATGTGAACCATCTGTTGTGTACATGTTCAACTGTTTAGTAAATGTATTCAGTCTCTTATGTACATGTAAACCATCTGTTTTGCACATGTGCTTCAACTGTTGTGTACATGTGTTCAGTCTGTTATGTACATATGTGTACCCGGCGCGCCGCAACGAAGACAAATTTGTAGTTGGGGAAAAAAAGGGGGGGGGGGAAATCAGGCACCTAATAATTTTCTAAGGGGCACAAATGTTGTAGGGGCTTAAGCCTTGTTTAGTTGCGCAATAATAGTAAGTAATATTTAAAAAAAAAATCTGTTGTTATTATTATTGTTTACTGAAAACACATAAGTATCAACCCATATTTAAAATGATAGAAAATGTTTAATCAAATAGCCCCTTCTATTTTATGTTTGTTTAATGGTGGTGGGGGGGGGGCGGGGGGGGGGAGGGGGGTTAAAGCCTCTGAGCACCCAGCCCCGAACGCCTATGGCGTGCACCTATGATATGTTGTAGACATGTGTTGCAACTGTTGCTTGTATGAGTGTACAGGGTCACTGTCGTATACATGAGTACATATCAAAAGGGCGAATTTGATCTGAAAAGGGGCGAATTTCATTTGCTGTTCTTGTAAAGAGGAATTTACCGTGTGTATGATGTCGGCGACTGTGGCTCAAGCGTTGCAAAAGCTCTTCGTAATGTTGGGTTGGATCACAGTTGAGGGTGATTTGGCAGCAGGCCATCTTGCGTTAGTTTCGACTGCTGAATAGAAATCTGACAATTCTGAAAGCAATGGCAAATTAGTGAAGGTAAAATTTGCTTAGAAAACCACAACAGCCAAAAACAATGGGGCTGGTTCTGCAACGTCCTGTAAAGGATATGTTACTAACTTTATGATAAATTTAGATACAGAATATGATTCTAGGAATTAGATTATAAGGATCATTCTAGAATACAGATGATGAGGATGATTCTAGAATACAGATGATGAGGATGATTCTAGAATACAGATGATGAGGATGATTCTAGAGTACAGATGATGAGGATGATTCTAGAATACAGATTATGAGGATGATTCTAGAATACAGATGATGAGGATGATTCTAGAGTACAGATGATAAGGATAATTCTAGAATACAGATGATGAGGATAATTCTAGAATACAGATGATGAGGATGATTCTAGAGTACAGATGATGAGGATAATTCTAGAATACAGATGATGAGGATAATTCTAGAATACAAATGATGAGGATGATTCTAGAATACAGATGATGAGGATGATTCTAGAGTACAGATGATGAGGATAATTCTAGAATACAGATGATGAGGATAATTCTAGAATACAGATGATGAGGATGATTCTAGAGTACAGATGATGAGGATAATTCTAGAATACAGATTATGAGGATGATTCTAGAGTACAGATGATGATGATGATGATTCTAGAATACAGATGATGAGGAAGTCGTGTAAGGGTGTGCTCAGGCGCTTGTCACTGCAGCCAGACGTGTTAAGATGGTTTAGCTTCTCTTTGGAGAGGCGAAACGGGAAATTTAAGTAGCCAGCCAACGACCCACGGAGCACCCAGGTCAACCCGATCCCCACGTCGGAAAACTGAAGCAACCAGGTTTTAGGCTAGCAGTGCAAATGGCTCGCCTCGAAGGAGACGGGTACCAACCAGGTCAGATTTTTTCCTGCCCCGCCACACGACGGGCATAGCAAGCCTGGCATCAGTGGAACGACTAAACCACGACACTAGGCTACAACCTGGTATCAGTGAGACGACAAAACCACGACACTGGGCTTCAACCTGGTAGCAGTGAGACGACAAAACCACGACACTAGGCTATAACCTGGTATCAGTGAGACGACAAAACCACGACACTGGGCTTCAACCTGGTATTAGTGAGACGACAAAACCACGACACTGGGCTTCAACCTGGTATTAGTAAGACGACAAAAGAAAAAGAAGAGGACGATTCGGAAGTTGACAATGAAGGTTTGTTTATCATATCAACAATAATATATGGATTGTTTTTCTTTCCATCCAGGATATCCTTCGCTGCAAATGGTTACTTTGGACACTCTAATGTTGGATGACGGTTAGTTGACCTGCTATTCTCAAATGATTGTTTGGATTGAATGTTAAGTGACTGTTTGAATAAATAAGTTATTTAACGAACATAATACATAATGTCGGTGTCCGCCTCGAGGGCTGGAGGTTCCAGGTTCAATCCCCGGTGGGGGCGGGGATTTTTTTTACTTGGACTAGGACTTCTAGTAATTCCATCGGGTCTCTAGGTAGTGAGATCGGACGCCCGTGTGCATTGTTGCGCACGTAAAAATCCCTCCCTTGGCAGTTGGAAATCGAAAAGCGTAGCCTAACGGCGCCTCCCGTGCAAAATTTGAAGTTAAAAATCTACCCAAAATATTACAGGATACTCGCCGGTGCCACAGAGCCTGTGCACTGTGCTGAGCTTCTTCAGGTGAGTGGGTGAAGTGGATAGTTGATTGGCTGGATGGTTAGTGTGTGGGTGAGTGAGGCCTGCCTGCTTTGTCTGTCTGTCTGTCTGTCTGTCTGTCTGTCTGTCTGTCTGTCTGTCTGTCTGTCTGTCTGTCTGTCTGTCTGTCTGTCTGTCTGTCTGTCAGTCAGTCTGTCTGTCTGTCTGTCTGTCTGTCTGTCTGTCTGTCTGTCTGTCTGTCTGTCTGTCTGTCTGTCTGTCTGTCTGTCTGTCTGTCTGTCTGTCTGTCTGTCTGTCTGTCTGTCTGTCTGTCTGTCTGTCTGTCTGTCTGTCTGTCTGTCTGTCTGTCATCTCAGCTGATGTTATTGTGTATGTTTGCTGGTAACCATTTAAGCAGTGCATTCATGTGACATCGGCGACCTGGTCGTCTTCGTCGTCGGTTGGGCTAGTATTTGGGTCTGCCTCCTACGGTCGCATTAACACTGAAAGAGTCCTTTTCTGGGCTTCTGGGTTTCTCGGTGTCGAAAAATTTAAAGCCATTCTTAATGGCGCACATATTTCAGTCACAACTATAACTAAAAGCTCTCCCCACTGGGGGGGGGGGGGGGGAGGGGGTGTTGGTTACACGTGACGTTTCTTGTTGTTGCTCAAACTCGGATTGGGTCGGATTCATATGACTGCAGCTTCGCCTCACCCCTCTGTGTTTGCACAAATTGTGGCAAAGTGATGCCACAAGTTATGGCCGGAGTCTGTCGCAGGGTCTAGTATCACGTAGTAGCAAGTCAACAGTGCAGAGGCACAAACACAATGTAAGGTCTGAAAAGAATGGTATAGTTAGAATTAGGCAAGGAATTTGGCCAAGGGATTTGGCCGACGGTCACCACTCAGTGGAGTGACGAGATGGACATACGATCAGACTGTTATGGGAATTAAAGCTCTGTTTTTGCTGCTGAAGACGTGGACGAAGTGGTTATAGGAATGTCACAAGCGTTGTGATGTCTGTTTAGTGATAACTTATGCAGAGACCACACTGCAAACGAAGACGTTCGCCATGTAATAATACAACACATTCGCAATATGAACCTCTTTTAACTACAGCAAAAAGGCGATAAATGCAATGGTATGGATATGTAAAATGATATAACGGCCTCTCAAAAAGAATACCGCAGGGCTCAGCAGAGGGAAAGAGGGGAAAATGCAGATCCAGAAAGACCTGGTTACAGAACCTGACTGACTTGAATGGCCTGAGGCAAGCAGCCATGAAGTCCGTCGAAAGTGACCGCCAAAGGTAGAGAGAGCTGATCAGACAGTCAACAGAAACTGGTGACCAGACAGTCAACAGAAACTGGTGACCAGACAGTCAACAGAAACTGGTGACCAGACAGTCAACAGAAACTGGTGACCAGACAGTCAACAGAAACTGGTGACCAGACAGTCAACAGAAACTGGTGACCAGACAGTCAACAGAAACTGGTGACCAGACATTCAACAGAAACTGGTGACCAGACAGTCAACAGAAACTGGTGACCAGACAGTCAACAGAAACTGGTGACCAGACAGTCAACAGAAACTGGTGACCAGACAGTCAACAGAAACTGGTGACCAGACAGTCAACAGAAACTGGTGACCAGACAGTCAACAGAAACTGGTGACCAGACAGTCAACAGAAACTGGTGACCAGACAGTCAACAGAAACTGGTGACCAGACAGTCAACAGAAACTGGTGACCAGACAGTCAACAGAAACTGGTGACCAGACAGTCAACAGAAACTGGTGACCAGACAGTCAACAGAAACTGGTGACCAGACAGTCAACAGAAACTGGTGACCAGACAGTCAACAGAAACTGGTGACCAGACATTCAACAGAAACTGGTGACCAGACAGTCAACAGAAACTGGTGACCAGACAGTCAACAGAAACTGGTGACCAGACAGTCAACAGAAACTGGTGACCAGACAGTCAACAGAAACTGGTGACCAGACAGTCAACAGAAACTGGTGACCAGACAGTCAACAGAAACTGGTGACCCAACGACACAGTGTTACGGGATGATGATGATGATGAAAAACTCATAATTATTAACTCCTTTTTTTTTGGTTTTTGTAATTTCACAGGAACATGGGATGAAAAATTCACTTGTCTGGCAGAGGACGTTCTGCATGAGCACTACAGAACCTGTCAGAAGAATCCTGGTCACCCAAATTTCTTTCCTGCTGAGGGTTTCAGTTCGAGTACTCTCCCGCCTCTCTATCGCACCGAAGAGGTGATGAAGTTCATTAAAATTTTGTCAGACATAACTGTCCGGGTGACAGTCAAGTATGTCAGTAAGAACAGACCTGAGACTGTCCCAGGAACTGCCATCTCATACCCGTGGTCCAGTGACAAGGGCAGTAACCTGATGAGGGTAGGAAGCGGAAGTGTTACTGAAGTTGACATATTTAAGAACGACAGATTATATCCAACGTGTGACTGCAAAGACTGCAAAGGTTCTTCAACGCCAAGAACAGAATTTGCTAACATTTACATAGACACAGCCGCTCACCTTGTCTACGATGAACAGGAGGCAGAACACACAACGTGCGATCTGTTCTTTGAGTCAGGTGAAATACCCGCATTCGGCAGACGAGCTGTCACACTCTCAGGTAGGAATATTTTGTTATATTTGTTTTACACAGTATTTGAATACCATTATGTATAGTTCCATAATACTTTCGTCGCCCAGCTGCTGATCTGAGTGCATGGCGCGACACTGTGACACTGTGAGCTGTGGATTTCATATGAAGCGCTGTTAGGCTGTGCCCCAACGTGGTTTGTAAGTGTGACCTGCAGATTCAGAAAATGGCGAATGACCTCTGGCCAGAGAACTGTTGGTACCTTATGCGATTTACTGCGTATGCAACTGTTATTAATATGTTGTAACTGTTGCACACATCGAAGATGAACTACATTTCTAGCGTCGGACTGTTTGTATTAGCACTTCTGACTGCTGTATTTAATTCGTGTGTATGCTATAGGCCTGCAGAGGCTGCAGTCTGTCAATTTTTGTGTATGCACAAGGTACAGGGTTGGATTTGCTGTGAAGTTTTATTGGCGTAGCTACAGAGCAACTATGGCAAGACCTGTTTTATATGAAGTTGGAACTACCTGATTACCATGGTGTAGTCATTTCAGAGGCGGTTTATTTTTGTGTGTGTTTGTTTCTTCTTGTCGGGGTCGCGGAGGTTCTGAACAAACTGGTGTGGCACTCGGACCAGTGAGTATACTGCTCAAGACCTACCTATACTTTACCGCCGTCATCATAGAAACTGGTTCGCAACCGGGAACCTGGTCAGCATAGGCAGGATTGTTGTGTTTTTCGAGGTGGAGTGATCCGCGCGAAGGTCGAGAAACCAACAATCTGCACACATATAAGCCCGATCCGCAAAACTCGATTTCTGGAACAAGACCAAAGTCCAGAAATTTATGAACAACCAGGAATTTCCGCCAGAGTTTACATTCAGGAAACGTGAAAAAGTAATTTCTCGTCGCCGTTCTGCTGATGAAGGTTAATCGCCGCAATGTCCTTTGTTTGTTTATTGTAAATGGTTCCATACAGCCAACAAAATATACATAATGCTTTTATTCTTTCTATTTTTATCACACTCTAAGGTACAAAGGAAGGGTCACGGGACACGAAGAGAGATTGGTGTAGGCTGATCCACGTGACCCATGACTTAAACTTGGCAGAGACAATTGACGCTATGATGAACGTCTATGACAAGTGTCTTCGAGCGATGGAGGAGTTCGACTATTTCAACCCCATGGAGAGCGGCAAGCAGAACGGAAGGAAGGACGCTAGAGGAGAAATTCCTCTGCACCTTGTGGTCTCCCACCCTCACGGAGCTGCCAAACAGATCAGCATTGGTTACTATGGTAACGATGGCAATGCTAGAACAGGTCAAGGCCAACTGAAATATACGTCCACTACTTGTCCAGGTTCCAGCGGCGCTCCGGCTTTACAGCTAGGATGGGAGACTTTCTATCCTTATGTTGAGGAGATGTAGTTTCTCTGTACTACATTATCTGTCGTAGTACCAGCTAGGATGGGAGACGTTCTTTGCGTATGTTGGGGAGATGTAGTTTCTCTGTACTACATTATCTGTCGTAGTACCAGCTAGGATGGGAGACTTTCTTTCCTTATGTTGGGGAGATGTAGTTTCTCTGTACTACATTATCTGTCGTAGTACCAGCTAGGATGGGAGACTTTCTTTCCTTATGTTGGGGAGATGTAGTTTCTCTGTACTACATTATCTGTCGTAGTACCAGCTAGGATGGGAGACTTTCTTTCCTTATGTTGGGGAGATGTAGTTTCTCTGTACTACATTATCTGTCGTAGTACCAGCTAGGATGGGAGACTTTCTTTCCTTATGTTGGGGAGATGTAGTTTCTCTGTACTACATTATCTGTCGTAGTACCAGCTAGGATGGGAGACTTTCTTTCCTTATGTTGGGGAGATGTAGTTTCTCTGTACTACATTATCTGTCGTAGTACCAGCTAGGATGGGAGACTTTCTTTCCTTATGTTGACTAGATGCACTTTCTTCATACTCCATTATCTGTCGTAGTACCAGCTAGGATGGGAGACTTTCTTTTCTTATGTTGGGGAGATGTAGTTTCTCTGTACTACATTATCTGTCGTAGTACCAGCTAGGATGGGAGACTTTCTTTCCTTATGTTGACTAGATGCACTTTCTTCATACTCCATTATCTGTCGTAGTACCAGCTAGGATGGGAGACTTTCTTTCCTTATGTTGACTAGATGCAGTAACATTTTTGTCATGTGACTAATAAGACGTATGTTGCGATAGTCTTCATATTTTAAAGTGCCCGATTTCTTTGCCAGAGTAATAAATATAGATTTTTATTGGTGGTTAGGAGGTTAGGATTGTACTATTAGGAATGCCATTACTGGTACTTATCACGAAAATGCCTGTCCTATTTTGTGGGGAGGGTATGAGATGGCTTTCTTCGGCGCTCGATTGACACATATAATGTTTGTGTAATGTTGCGTTGTCGTGAATCTGTTTGAGGCGCCGCAGGCACCTTTGTACAAGTAAGAAGTACATCAGAGGAAGCGCTTACTGTTTGTGGATATCGGAACTGGGATGTTCTTATTGTATTTCTGCTTTTATTTCACATCTGATTCAACCAGTTTCTTTGACCTTTTTGTATTCGTTCACTATGTGTTGTATGTATACTTCTTCTTTATCATTCTTTTTCTTTCTTCTCTCGTCCCTCATCTGTGAAATTTCATTTTTCATCCATTTTTTGTGCGACTCTATTTGTTAGAGGTATAAGCTTTTTCGATGTCTGCTGAACTGACTCGCGCAGGATATCTGATTGTTCATCGATAGTTTGTATTATTTCCGACGCGTCATTTCTATTTTGCACACTGACTGTACTATCCCTAACGTTTTTATCTTTTTAAAGTATTCTTAAATCTAACGTGATGTTCTGTGGGGTTTTCTTTACAGTTTTAAGTTTTATTCTAAACTTTCCTTCCAACTGGAACATGATCACTATAGCAATCTACACCTGGTCTAGTCTTTTCTCCAGTTGAACTATTCCTGAATCTTTTTGAAATCAATATATAATCAGTCTGATTGCAAACATTATCGCCAGGATTTTTCCATGTCCCAAATCGACGAGGATGATGTTTAAACAGGTGTTACAAATTATCATGTTATGTGACTCATCTATTAATTTTTCGCCTCTCTCATTCTTTCCTCCTAGGCCATTTATTCAACTTTTGCATTGAAATCTCTCATTATTATTCTTACTTCAGAATTATTGCACTGATCAAAAGCGATGTCTAAATCAATAATAAATTCACCAAAGTCATTTTCTGAGCTTTTTGCAGTTAGTGCATACACCACTAGGTTTATGACAAGTGGTTTGCTGTAGGTCTTTACTAATAGCACCATGTTTGAAATAGTCAAAATTCCTTTAACAGGTTTTGCACATTGTGGGTCCAGAATAAAAACCATTTTATATTCCCCCCCCCCCCCCCCACCCCTATTTGGGTAAATTATGTTTTTTTTCTTCTGAAAAGAACAGAGCCTGCTTAACCAGGGGGTGGAAAAAAAACAGAGCGTGCTTAACCAGTGAGAGGAAAAGAACAGAGTATGCTTAATCAGTGAGGGGAAAAGAACAGAGCCAACTTTACCATGAAGGGGAAAAGAACAGAACGTGTTGACGATTTACTGAACTCAACTCTTGTTGTGGGAAAAGAATCTGTCTGATTCAGGGGTCACTTGGATCCACACATGGCTAATGAAGACGCCTGTAGGGAGCGTAAATAGTTCGTCGTGCATTCTAGTTAACTTATTTCTGCAGCGAGGCACTGTTATCAGTTGGAGTTCGATTCCCGGGAAGGTAACTATAGGTAGGTAGGTAAGTGGTACCGTACCAAGACATCACATAAGGGATAAACACCCGGTGACACAAAATGCCACCATGCGGATGAGGATCACATACATTAAGGGACCCCTGCAAAAGCCAGGGTGGGGCTTCAAAAAAAAAAAAAAAAAATTGCATCGCACATGGGGACGACTATATCTGTCTTCTAGAATGTAACTGAGTGACTTTCTACCCCACTAAGACATCACACAAGCGATGAACACCCGATGACACAAAGTGCCACCATGTGGATGAGGATCACCGTGGAAAGGTCCCAGAAACCGCGTTCAGACATTTGGCCATTTTTATGACCTGCCTATATTGCGGCCCCTGGCAAAAGCCAGAGTGGGGCTTCAAATAACAAAAAATTACGTCCTGAAAAGGCCGTAAGGGTTGTAGTAGACTAAAAAGAATGTAACTATAGCTTTCAAAGTGTATGATGTCTGGTATATCTTACTGTCTTTATGCTTCTTTCTGTGCGTGCCTATCAATACACGTCCATTTGTTTATATATATATATATATATATATATATATATATATATATATATATATATATATATATATATATATATATATATATAAATATATAAATTTTTTTTATGGCCTCAAGGTTCCATAACTGTTTATTTGTGTAGAGGCATGATTAACTAGAGGCAAATACTCCGGTGGTTTCCCCTTGTATGGTTCGACTGGGATAGCCTTTTTTTTTAAGTTTCCAAAAACCATGAGTAATAATTTTCAAGTTTTTTTGTTTGTGAAGATTTATATATATATATATATATATATATATATATATATATATATATATATATATATATATATATATATATATATATATATATATATATATATAATATATATATATATATATATATATATATATATATATATATATATATATATATATATATATATATATATATATATATATATATATATATATATATATATATATGTATACACACATTACCATTATGCCTGACAAGTGGAAAAAATCTTCACAAACAAAAAAACTTGAAAATTATTAAGGTGTACTCAGTAAAAAAGACGTTTGCAAGCTGATCGATGTAAACAAAAAACTGAACTACATTCCCTATAGTGAAAACAAATTATGACATTAAGTACATCAGTGAACAAGTTTGACCGGTTGATATATGTAAACAACAACAACTACTACAAAAAGTTTACAAGCTGAGCGATGTCAACACTTTGACAGTTTTATATATATATATATATATATATATATATATATATATATATATATATATATATATATATATATATATATATATATATACTAGCTGTACTAGGGTTACTGTGGCCCAAAATGGTGAAATGGAGAGGAAAGAAAATAGCTCTCAGCTAACAGTGTCTGTTTTACACCCCCCCCCCCCTCTCTTCCCTTGACGCAGTCATATCTCCCTCTCCGAATGATTGAAAAATCTTCCATGGCAAAATTACTAAAATAGAAATAGCTAGGAAATGAGAACTTTAAAATAATAATTTAAGCTCTCTCAGCTAACTGTGTCTGGCATAAACCCCCCCCCTCCCCCAATCATATCATCCTCTCCGAAGGATGGGAAAGTCAGCGAGTAACGAAATATTGTACCTAAATTGAGCTTGGCATCCGTGTCCACCCAGACTTAAATAGGTAGCATTAACTTGTACAGAGAAGTAAATGTAGCCAGTGTAACAGCTACCACATCATCCATCATGTACCAGTACTACTGCAACCACTACCACCACTACCATCACAACAACAACAACAAAAACTGTCACTACAGTCTGTGTAGGTCGGTGTAGAAAAGAGGAGTTAGCGCCGCATGCCTTCGCCACTGACTATTTAGTTTAATTTTGCCTCCGACATAGGAAAAAAAAAACTTCATCACGTAACCAGTGATGAAACCCACAGTGAAAAGTATACTATACTCACGAAAAGCGGAGAAAAATTCACCGCACCCGCCATCTCTCCCTCTTTGAGGGAACTATTTTTAACTGACCTTGGCATCGTGTCCACCCAAACTAAATTGGACCCTTATTGATCGAGAAGCGACGAGGAAAGGCTAATTAGGACTTAACTGAAATGGGATGTCTTAGGGCGAAAGGCGCAGATATCACAGCCTAGCTGTAAACCACAACACAACGTGGCAGCCACCCTTTTAAGGGAAAAAGAACAATTATCACCCAGCGAGAAATCGAACACCGGTCACCCGCGTGGAGGATGACATACTTACAACTATACTACCGACGACTGAAGAGTTTAGGTCAGATATCGCAGTAGCTGTAAACCACAACACAAAGTGCCAACGGCCCTCTCGAGGGCGAACGAAGATCACCCGTGACATGACCATTGAGCATCACGTAGCCGCTGTCGCAGGCTAGCTGTAAACCCCAAAACATAAAAAGGCATAGATATCGCAGCCTAGCCATAAACCACGACACAACGTGCCAGCCGGCCAGTTAGGGGTTAAAAAAATTATATTACCTAGCGGGTAATCGAACACGGGTCACCCGCATGATAGACAAAGCAGCTGCCTACTACGCTACTGAACACTCAAGCAGATAGTGGAAATGAAATTAAATAATAATGCAAAGTTCAATAAG